TATGCCGAAATATATCTTCTGCCGTTCCCCCTGTTTGGACTAAATCAACCGAATAAAATCTCCAATATTAAGACGTTTATATTTCGCGTGTCCGGCGACTATAGCGCCCCCCAACGGCGCCGATTGCTGCGCGCCCTCTCGTGCCGCGCGCAGATAATTCAGGAGCGGCGTGACTGGATCCCCGTCGCAAAAAACCGGCGTAACGACACTGGCCTGGGAACTCCCGTGGACGTCGCCTTTTTATAGGCCTTATATTTTTGAGCGTGTTCCGTGGCAAGGAGTAGTCCTTTACCGGGATGTTTTTACAGTAGGATTTATGTATCGTGACGTGGCGTTGAAGTTGTTTAGGACCGAATCGAGAAAGGAGGTGAGATATTAAATAAAGAAAAAAAACAGAGCAGAAGATCCTTTATAGGTTTTTGCTGGTGGTTTTTATGGGATGGCAGATGGATGAAATCGATATTTTCGATCATTTTGAGGTAGCAATAGTTTCAAGAAGTACTGGAATGAAATAAGTAAGGAGCAGATTGTACGGGAGTGAGAAACTTAATCACTGCGAACTGCGACTTCTAGTTCCTTAGTTCGAGTTCCTCCAGAGGAATAGTTCCTTGAACTAGGTCTTTAGTTCACAATAGTTCCCGACTAATGGGTTTCGTTGTCAGTCAGAACTCAAATCAGAGTTTAAAAAACTATATCACAAATCAATTGGAGCAAATAATACTAAAATTCAAGCTTTTGTTTTTGCCTAAAATTTCAGAATATCTATTTGGTTTTATAAGATATTTCTTAATTTTAGGGACCTAAAGTCAAACATTCCCATAAAATATTCAAAGAACAAACTACAAATCAAAGGCCGACAAGGCCGAGTTTATTGTCATCGCCTTGTATTATATCCCGTATCTGCCGAGTGAATAGATTCCGGTGAACTAGTCTTTTAATTAGTTCCTCTAGTTCCTCTCAGTCCTTTCGGTCCGGGACAGGTAACATACGGCTGGCACTCTCCACTCCAGCCTAGCATCGCCCTGGCCGAGCCGTACGTAAACTAATATTTTATTTAGTTCCTATAGTTCCTTTAGTTCCGGATTTGATAACGTACGGCTGGCACTCCCACTCCTGCCTAGCATCGGGCTACGATCCCGCTGGCCGATCCGTCGCCGTCGCATATTATTATATATCGGTCACAGTCTCGATCCCGGAATAGATTCTGAGGAACTAGTTCTTTGAGAAACCGGGAACTAGTTCCTTTCATTCCGGGGTGGGAATAGTTCATTGGATCTAGTTCGTTCACGAACTACACACCCCTACCTTAGAGATCTCTATTATGTCTCGCTTTCTTGTAACTCACCATACTCAAGGCTTTGACAAAAGCTAGTATCTGAGACGGTTTTATAGAGGTTAGTTCTCCATCTCCGATACTCGTACTCCATCTCCGATCTCGTACCAAAGTTTATGGTACGAATGGTTGTCGTCTCGGCGCACTCAGTTATGAGGTGTTCTAGTGTTTTTCCATTTTCCCCACAGAATCTGCATTCGCCATTTTTTCTTAGCTCCAATCTACTGAGGTGTTCATTGATGAGACAGTGTCCTGTTAAAAATCCTGTTATAAACCCCGTGACGATCCGAAGATTGCTCTTATGTAAATCAAGGGAAATCTTTGATTTTTCTCAGACGTACGTTTTGAGAAACTTCTTCGAGTATCTTAGGGTTGGGTTCAGGAAGATGAATCCAACTCCAACTACCGCTGAGTATACGGTTATTAAAATGTTATGATGTATTCTCGACCCTGCTGTATGCAATGGAGTAATGTCAGAGTGATGGAGATGCTGAATACCACGACTGTGGTTATAAACAGCATAGAGACCAGAAAACTAGAATACTTTGGACATTTTATGAGACAGGAGAAATCCCAATACTGTTGCAGAACATCAGGCAAGGTAAAATAGAAGGAGGACGCTCAGCTGGAACAAAAAGGACGTCTTGGCTCATGAACTTGCGGGAATGGTACGGAGTAAATACCAACACGCTATTTAGAAGAACCATAAAGAAAATATAAGTGTCATTGATGGTAGTCAACATTCTTCGAGGACAAAACACATAAAGAAGAAGAAGATCTTAGACCGTTGGGGATTTCCATTCCAGGTTATGGATGGAGTCTTCCAGATTCTTGAGTTCCGCTTTAAGATGGTTTTCACTTGGGAAGCAGAACGGTTCTAGTCCAGTTAGTGGAGTGTTCGCTCCTTTCCTAGCTATATCGTTTGCTTTTTCATTAATTTCTATCCCGTGGTGGGCTGGCATCCAGAGTAAGAAGACTTTATTTTCTTTGCTTAATTTGTTCATCTCCTCAAGACATTCTTTGACCAACTTCGAATTGATGCTTACTGAGTTGATTGCTTTAAATGCTGCTTGACTACCGGATAAGATGACTATTTTTTGTTTCCGGTAGTTCCTGTCTAAAATAACTGTACGCATCTTTTGATAGCGTAGATTTCTGCCTCAAGGATGTTGGGGTACGTGTCCATTGGTTCGGAGTATTTAGTTTTCAGCCCAAATACTCCTATTCCTGTTTTTGCTTTGGTTTTGGAGGCATCAGTATACCACGTTATGGTATGGTCTTTTACCTGCTGAGCAAACGTTTCTCTACAGTGAGGTGTTTCTCAAAGTTGTACGTTCTTGGTATGTCTGGTATGTCATCTACTGGGAGTTGGAGGAGTTGAATTTTCCTTTTGAGATAATTCCAAGCTACTGATGACAATAATTCTCCAAGTACTGTTCCGTCAATGTCCATTCTAATCATTGTCGCATTCCAAGAGGACGTTACAAATTTGCCACACCAAAACTAACAATTATAACGTGAGTTTATTTTCCCAATAATATTTCTTTTAACATAGGTTTTAAAACGACACATATTAAGAGTTTGTGCCTGCTAAGTATTTCTGCGTCTCAAGCATGTCACGCCATATCTGATTTTATGGGCGTCCTGCGCTCCGATTTAGGGGTAAAAGTATTCCTAGAAAAGCGTTCAAAATCGAACGATGATGGGTTGAAACAATTCTGTTTCGAAAAAGAAAGTTTGGGAATATTACCTAATGCAGAAAAATACACGTATTCCGACGCACAGTACAGTTTTGAGTGCGGTGGCGTGAATAGTGTGTCAGTTAAAGTAAAGTTAATTAGTTAGTTAGTGCAGTGATATAAGCAGAAAGCAGGGTGAGTACATCTCACTAAGTGTCGTAGTTTATTAATTAATTAGATCATGAATATTTTGATAAATATATTGATACGTTTTGTTAGATATCATTTGCGTACACATATTATTAAATATTACATTAAATAACTGCGCCGTATACATGCTAGGTCAAAATATAGAATATGAAAGTTAGATAGGGTTAGTAATTAAATAATGCGGCGGTATACCGATGCGGCAGCTACGTGAGCTTTGTTTAGATAGGCTATTGAATCTCTTTACTCTGTAGAGTCGGTGCTGTCTAGTCAGGAGGAGCGCAAGGATAGGCCCGTTAATGTTGCTTGGCAGGATCTGGGATCCCGTAATGTCATAGTAGCAGGGACGCGATTCCTCGTAATGTCGCAACGGTGTAGGGAGTAAAATCCTGGTTATCACCGGTTTTTATATTGTGCCTCTGGGCGTAACCAGATGCGGGAGCGGGACCCCGAGAGATTCAGCCGCTGTATCCGGGTCTTCTGGTTCGTCTAGACCGTGCCACGGGGGGGCGTGGACGGGGGCAAGACAGTACGTTAGTATTTGATGAGATAAGTAAATTTGTAATCAAGAGAGAGAGAGAGATTGGATAGTTCTTTTATAAAGTACCTAATTAGTTAATATGATAGCCACGTAAGCTTTAGGTGGATTAGTGAATTTCTGTTCTCAGTAGAGTTAGTACTGCTTAGCTTGAGGAAGCGCAAGGATAGGCCCGTTAATGTTGCTTGGCAGGATCTGGGATCCCGTAATGTCATAGTAGCAGGGACGCGAATCCTCGTAATGTCGCAACGTCGCACACGGCAGGGATCTGGGATTCCGTACGCCGTGTGACAACGGACATTATTATTATGTCTGGGACGGTACCTCCGGGTCTTCAGCGGCGGGAACAGGCCCCCAGGGTCCTCGAATCTCGGGATCGATATGTTGTGTTTATTCTGTTGCCCGTGCGGCTGATTACTCTGGAGTCCGCGCCATCAGGGGGTGCGTGGGCGGAAGGCCAAGCAGTGCATTTGCATAGATATGTTTGTAAATCTTGTATTGAGAGAGACAGAGATAAATTAGTCCATCTAGTAAGATAATGGGAAATAAATAATAGGTAGTTAGGGCAAAACAATATCGGCACATAGCAGTTAAGTAGGTCGGAATTATGAACTGGACACTTATCCTTACTTTTAATTGTGACAGGTATAAAAGTACGCCTCCGCTCAGGGTCAATGCTTCAGGGATTATTTGGTGAGTCTGTGATTTATTATATATTTGTTTTCCTGACAATATAATACTTTAAAACATTTTAATTATCCTGTCACGAGTTATGGTTTTGTTAGTTGTTTAGATTGTTTATTATTTTATAAAGAAAGTAAACAAAAAAAAATCTTACACAATTTTGTCTGAAGAACTTAATTTAAAGTAATATAATTTATTGAAAAATATGTTTTTCATGTTTAAAAACGTCCCTTTAAACATTTCAAATAAAACTCTCCTTTATTTACTACCATCCCTTTTATTACTAACCCTTCCATATAAACACCCATAATCTCCTCACAATAGGCTCTAATCCGAAAGGGTTGGTCATGGCCATCTCTTCATCTTTTTCATAGACAACAACACTCCTCCTGGCCCCACTTCTTGCAGCGTCAAAGGGCACATCGCGGCCTCATGCCGGATCTTCCCTGCTGTCTCTCTCTCACCCACGCCATTCCCCACAGCTCCATCTCTCTCACACCGGTAAATTCTAGATGGCGCGGCCGAAGAACGTGTCCGCAGCGGCCCGCTTGATTTCTTGACTTAGTTGACTTTCTACTGTTTTACCGTAGCTAGCGTTGAGTGTATGTGCGCGCCTATACCGCGACGACTATGATCAACTTTGCGATCTAATATACAGGGTGTAGTGAAGAGAACTGGAAATTAGACGAGGGAAAATGGTGGTGGAGTGTCGCGTTTGGCAAGTGTGACAGATCGGGGTACGGAAGACAGAGAATCGGTGAAGAAAGAGCGGTTTTTATGAATGGTGAGTAGTTGGTAGGAGTTATAGATACCAAATAACAGTAGATTTGAGAAAAATAGAACTTTTTTTATGTAGATGAGTGATTTTTTGTTTTCTTTTTGATTTTTTCCAATTTATTTACTTAATATTGACGGAATTCAACATATTTTTCGTCAAATAATTCCAAAAAACGCAACAGATTAGATAAAAGTGTCAGAAAAGTAAAATTAAACTGTACTGGTTTATTTTTCTTGATCTAGTATGTTTATTGGACGTAAAATTGACACTGGAATTCAATTTATGAACAAGTATTTAAAAAAACTGTATTACATCATAAAATATTCACAAAAGAATACATTAATCTACAAATAAATAATAAAACCCCCAAAAACTAAACATGGGCTGTTCTTTTTATGGTTTATTGGCTGAATATTGGTAACTTCAATCAAGTTTTGTATCAAATACTTGAAATAATAAGGTCTGGACCAAAAATTTAATTAAGTAAACTATAAATCAATGAAAACAAAGAAATGTTAAAGATAAATAGCCCATTTTTGTTTATTTGGGTTGGTTATTGACATAAAATTGGAACCATGAATCCAATTTTGCATCAAACGGTATCGAAACAAATTAAAAATCAAAATTCTTGACAAAAGACAAGTATAACGACTTAAATTTGGTAGCGTTAATTCAATTTTACGTCAAATATTTAGGAAAAAATATTTTAAACCCAAAAATTTTCAGAAAATATTAAATTAAGCTCTAAATAAACTACAACAAAGGAGAAGATAACGAAAATCACTGAATTTTAATATTTACATAAGTTTATTGGCTTACTGTTGGTAGCATATTTCTAATTTCGTATCAAAAAACTTCTTTAAATCTAGAAATGTTAAAAAAGCTGCAGAAAAAAACTCTAAATAAGACAAATAAAGGATTAATCAGAATCTAAAAGCAATTTAAGAAAAATGGTAACACAATGTATGGGACTATAATTAAATGAACAAAATTGAAAGCCAAACTCATATCATCCTTTAAAACAACAATTTCAATAAATAGGTATCTTGTTTTATCATTTTTAAGCTTTTGTTTTCTATTATACCTAATTATCAATCAGAGGTTAATTTTTTTTTTGAATTAATAAAAAAAACTTTGGATATAATGAGTTTATTCGGTACATTGGTACCCGGGCTAAAAAAAGTTGATCAGAAGTGACATCTAGAGTCAATTTTGTAAATTTCTTCATTCAGCATTGATGATTTTTATGTTGATTCTTAATTGTGATCCAAATAGTTTCAAAAATTCTTCTTAGACTTCAAATTTTTACAAAACAATACACCAAACTAAAAATAAATGTCAACAAAAAAGAACACAAGTTGAGAGTTAAAAACTTACTCCTAAAAAAACGAAATAATTTAATAAACTCCTAGATAAACGTCAAATATGCCATGGAGGATGAATCACACTGTATATTTTTATTATTTTATGTTAGTAGAATTGAAAATATACAAAAAATTAATTTTTCTCATTACTTTGTAAAAAAGCACTGAGAAATTTATCTCCCTAGACTTATATATTAGTATATTGTTAAACAAAACAGTTATTTTTAAGTTATAACTGAAGCCCCATGCTCACTATGCGCTGATGCGTCTATTTGATGCGTCCATGCACGCATAGTGAGTATGATGCGGTTAATCGATGCGATGGGTCGATGCGATTCGTTAGTTCGTTGGGAAATTCGTCCAGTTTGTTCGTGATATTTATTTTGATGGTATGAACCGCCGCACAACCCATCGTATCGACGCATTGACGCATCAAATCGACGCATTGACGAACCGCATCAGCGCATAGTGAGCATGGCGATTCAGTTTTGTTCTCAAGATAAATCCAATAAAATTAATACAGTATGGTCAAAAAACGGCGTCAAAGACGGCTGGGGAAGGACAGTCGATGATAATTTTGCCGAGGTCAATCTCTAGACGTCATTTAAGTACTAAATATTGTCATAAAATGGAAAAATAATTTTTAGTCAGTATAAGAATTCTTCTTAAAGATTAAGATCCTTCTTAAAGCGTAAGCGCCATTCAATATAAAGAAGAATACGGACCAAGTAAATAACTTCTAGGGCTTGACCTCGCCAAAATTATCATCGATTGTCGTTTCGCCGCCGTCTTCGACGCCGTTTTTTTTCGATCGTATTTGAATTGATAACAGGGAGTATATATTTGATCGTAGTAACAAATAAAAGGCGTTCGTGTTTAATAAATAAATTAGAATTAACAATTTATAACTTAATCGCATGATTTCTAGATAAACAAATTCAAGATTAGAATCTTATACAAGAACAGATAAATGTAACACAATAACTCCAACTCATTCTCCCGTTCACTAATACAAACAGAAACGATAGTTATAAACTATTAATAACAATTTTATTAGCCATTGTGTATTGTTTACAAAATTATGCAACATAAATCACAGCAAAAACTCAATTATATATCCCGAACAATATGTATATGTATTGTAGTAAGGGAGCTTAAGCAGGGATTTTAGGATAAGGGGAGAAACCTTGCCTAACCTAACCATACATGAACCATTTATACAGGGTCGTGCTTGAAAAGCAACCGATCAGAGTAGTAAAAAAATTCGAACTCCTCAGATTAAGGCAAAATGAGTGCAGAAAAATATACAGTGTGGGCCAAATTGGACGCTTTTTTCTATAGAAGATAGACGAAAAATAATATCGGCGTCTAAGCTCAATTATTTTTATCAAAAACATGATGGTAAAAACCGCACATCGGTATCTGTTACCGTTTCGGAGTTACGGGGTGTTTTTGAAAAATGTGCATTTTTAACTAATAATCGCTGTAACTGTTTTGCTATGGGAAATTTTGTATTTTTATGAAAACATTTCCAAAGCACCTTTTTACGTAAAATTTATTGGTTTAAGTATATTTTTTTTTAAATTATTAATTTAAGAATTATTATCAACAGAAAATTTGATTTTTTATATGTGACACACTGTATATTTTTAATTCATAGAAAAGAATTAAAAATTGCCTTTCCAAAAGTATAGCATACTAAAAAATATAGTTTTTAAAAATTCGTCTTGTTTTTGAAAATATTTGCAATGACAGATGCAGAATTTTATAACAATTTAAACTATATTTAACAACAACACATTTAATCTATATCTAATAAAAAAAATAATAAATAGCAAACCAAGACATGAGATCTTGCTACAGGAGGTGTTCGAAATGTATTATCTTTTGCAAAGACAGGACTGTTTCTGAACATTTCTTGCGGAATGCATTAACTCAGTGAGGTTGAAAGATACCTTCGAAATATCTGCTAATTACTTCTAATTCTTGTCTAGAGAATACGGATAATTAAGATTCTTTAGTCTTCCTGAAAAATAAAAATCCATAGGCGCTAAGTCCGGCAGCCTGGATGGCCAACGGCTGGGACCTTGTTTATCTATGCAATTATGCTCGAAATTAGCTGCAAAAAATTGTTGATAACTTCAACGTTATTAGGTGGTGCCTTGTCTTGCTGGAATAATATGTTTTCGAGTTCCATTAGCGTCAGATCATCAAGAAGGAGTCCAAAGCCTATACTAGTTAAAAGTGACGAATTTTTAAAAATTCTCTATTTCGAAGTTCGAAGGGGACTATAACAAAATATCAAGTGTGCTGTATTTTTGGAAAGGTAATATTAAGTTATTTTCAGTTAATTGAAATTATACAGGGTGTCCCAAATAAAAAATCAATTTTTTTGTCGATAACTCTTAAATTATTAATTTTATAAAAATATATACTTAAACCATTAAATTCTACTTAAAATGATGCGTTGAAAATGTTTTCATAAAAATATAAAATTTTCCATAACAAAAAAGTTACGGCGACTTGTTAAAAGTGGACATTTTTCAAAAACACCCCGTACTTCCGAAACGGTAACAGATACAGATGTGCGGTTTTTATCATCATGTTTTTGATAAAAAATGAACTACAAACACAATATTAGTTTTCGTTTATCTCCTATAGAAAAATTTGTTTTTCTTTAAAAGTGTCCAATTTGGCCCAACCTGTACACGCTCTCCACACCAGTATAAAAGTATGCAACTAATTTTCACAATAAAATAGGTCCCCACAACGCTTGATTAAATCCCCACATGCCATCCCCTGAGCCCCCCTACTATTATGTTTTAACCCTGTAGTCTAAGAGCCTAGCAACGTTTTCGAGAAAGTATTTTAAGACGATATATCTTTTACTATGCTCTCTGGAACAGCATGCGGCCCGTCTGGCTGCCGATACCCGTTGCGTTCACTACTGCGCATCGGAAGAAGATCCTATATTTTTTTTTATTAATTTAGTCCTATAAATTCTAGTATTGAATATAAATCGAACATTTTCACAGAGTTCGAATCCGGATCAGGACAAAGACTTTTTTATTTTATTTTCGTTTATATTCTGATAGTAAAGTATTAAATAATTCTGGTAATTAAAAAAACAAATATTTAATACTTTACTATCAGAATATAAACGAAAATAAAATAAAGAAGTCTTTGCCCTGACCCGGATTCGAACTCTGAATCATCGGTTCGTGGTCAGAAACTCTATGCACTGCGCTATGGAGACATGTTCGATTTATATTCAATACTAGAATTTAAAGGACTAATAAAAATATAGGATCTTCTTTCAATGCGCAGTAGAGAACGCAACGTTTACCGGCAGCCAGACGGGCCGCATGCTCTTCTAGAGAGCATAGTGAAAGATATATGAAAGAGTCTTAAAATACTTGTTTTTCCGACGTTGCTAGCTCTCGTACTATTGTACAACCACGACTGAATTTTTATGTTTTTTTTTTACAGATAAAGTCAACCCGATTAGGAACACTCTAATTATATTAGACACGAAGAAATTCTAAACGAAAACCTAGATCAGATAAAAAAAACCCTAATAAAAAAGCAGGTGTGATATTCAAGTTACATCATTAAATTTTAAAAGATACTTCTTAATGATAAACTATCAAAAGACTCATCATGCAGACGACTACATCAACCGAGACGAAGATGCTTCAGGACAAGCAGCAACAGCAACAGCAGCTTGCTGCATCGAAGGAAGAATCAGCTGCTTCAACTGCCCTGGCAACAGCTTTAATCCAGGACAATTTTCTGCAGAGATCCATTCAAAATGTCGCGTTAACGCTTCAGAATGCCATGCTGAATTCACTACAGCAAGCTGCCCTGTTACCGGCTAATAGTGCAGCTGCAGCTGCTCTGAATTTGCAGGCGCTGGAAAGTTATTTGACGTTGCAGAGGTTGACAACGACAGTTTCAGCTAGCAACGTAAGTACACTAAAGTTACTCCCGATTTCGTCGCTCGTAAATTAATATTTTCGGTCGGGTTAATTTGTATAAAAAATAACTATTATTGTCACGTTCTCGTTCAAAATAGTTTATCAGGAAAGCTACAAGCTCTTTGCTTCGACTGTTTAAATGCTTGGGCATATTTTCCACACACAAATTTCAAGAAATGCAATACAAAAACTCGAGGATTTAGTTCTTAAAAGAACTTTTTGTGCTTAAATGTACAATTTAAAAAAAAACTATGAAAATCCCTCAACAACAACACGATATAATACAAAATAATGACTGACATTATGATAATTGTCAAATAATAAACGACAACCTTGCTCAGTGCCTTCTATTAAAAGATCAGCCTACGGGCGAGATTTATGACGTCACGCTAGTTAGATATAACGGATTAATAAATATGTTATAGAATACATGGAAAACATAATTATTCCTCAGATTTTTGGTTTGTATTTTAAAAATGATGTAGTTTACATGAAATATACATAATATACAGTTAATAACTACAACATATATACCTATTTATAGTAATAAATACTTTGGCAAATAAACTTTGAACCATACAAATGCAGCAAATGTTTTACAATGTACAAATAATGTATAGGTACCTAAGATAATGGGTAAAATGTAAATATATTTTAAATTTGGGGGTTTGAAAATCGATCTAATTTAACAAAAAACATTCAATATCTACTAATAGTGATGTATTATTATTTGCATTCACAAAATTTATATGTATATTTTGCAAGTATCAATGTTCGAAAAATTATATTTACAAATAATACAATATTATCTAAAAAAAGGCGTCAGCGATGGATATGAAATGAAGATCGCTGGCATTTTATATGTAAAATTATTCTAAGATTTTTGATTTTCTTGGGATTTTTAGGTTCGGGAAAAACGCTGATTTAAGTTTTCATTTGGGTTTTCATTATTTTTATTTGGTTTAAAAAAACGTTTCGGCTAACTATAGCCTTCATCAGTGTTGTGTCATATGAGAAAAATAGTGTCGAATATAATCCAAAAAATTACATAGGTATACAATATAATTCACACCTCATAATGTTTACTGCAATTAATAAACTAATATAAACTTATCAAAAGATGACCACATATTTTTTAAAATTATTATTCTTAACACTAAAATTATATCTACATTGACTATGGAGTACGCAGTAAACATTATGTGCGTGGTGTGAATATTTTATATGTAATTTTTTGGATTATATTCGACACTATTTTTTTCATATGACACAACATTGATGAAGGCTATAATGTTAGCCGAAACGTTTTTTTTTTAAACCAAATAAAAATAATGAAAAACCAAATGAAAACTTAATCAGCGTTTTTCCCGAACCTAAATCCCAAGATAATCAAAAAATTTAGAATATTTAGAAACAAGGTTCAAGAATAACAAATTTTCCAAGATTGTAAAATTCTAGTTAATTATTTTATGTGTACAGTTATTTAGGGAATGTCATCGATGTTCATTTCCAAGCCAACTAGACGCCGATTTTTTTCGATGATACAGTATAATTCTTACGTAAAATGTAAATAACATTAGACCAATTAAAACAAAGAAATATGAATTTCTTAGTATTTTTAGTAACACCTTTATTCTTAAAACTTAATTTTGTATTATGCAAATATACCAATTTTATTGTTATTTTATTCATATTGTATTCAGCTATCACTTAAATATTTGATATTAATTTGGTATTATAAATAATCAACACTATTCATTAAAAATTACTGAACAAATATATGTTATGCTTGACATACATTATATATTATCAAACAAAAACACATTCTTCTTTTAAACTATATCAGTCTTGTCTTTACAAAAATATTTTTAAAATTTGAACTCAAAATAATAATCTTTTTCATGATCTTTAATACACATATTTTTTATTTTTCCCTAGATCATAATACCTACTTACGTGTTTGAATCTATCGAAGCTGAACCAACAACACTTGGAGTGGAGATTCCACAATATGAATAAAATAAACAAAATTGTCCAGTTTTCATTAATACCATCATGGGAGAATATTATTTTTAAATTTATTAAAGATATTTCAATAGAATTCTCTTGATTTATAACTCGTACCCACTTTTCTTGCTCTTCCGGACACTTTAGCCTGCCTAGTATAACTATCCTTTCCACCAGGAACACAACAAAGATGAGGCATAGCACCAAAAACACACTCCACTTAAGCTTTATTGATGAATTGTTAGAGTCTTAAAAAACACACACAAAAATCACGATTTCTCAATTTTTCTATTTTTTTATGCGAAACCGTGAGTGACCATATATCTGGTAGTAGTTTATGTCACTTAAACACCAAGATAATTAGTTTTTTGCACTACAATAATAAATAATACCAAAAATCATAGAGTTAAAACCAAAAATCAACCGACAAAATATGAAACGGAATCTAACCCAATATCTAAGTATGTACAGCTGATGAAGTAAACAAAAGTCCGCCCCAAGGCTGATCTTTTAAAGAACGGCAGTGCTTTGCTGATCGCGGCGCAATGTGACCAACATGGCGATAATAAAAATCTCTTTAAACTTATTTTTGCAGCTTTAATTTAAATAAAATATCTGTTACAATCATTTGCTCTATAAAGTAAAATGAAGGGCTGCACGGTATCTTAAATTATACAACAAATTTAAACATTTTTGCCAAATTATTTCATTCAGTCAGGTTTATAGGCTTTAGTGTTAATTTCGATATGATTGATGATGTGCATCGGAAAATGTTTCGCGATTACCGTATAAAGCATACTGTGTTAAATTTAGATAGATAGATTTTATAAAGTTTATTCCATTGCGGCATATACAGGTCTAATGCGGTCTAAATCTTCATATTTTTAAAGTGTTTAAGGCTGTATTCCGTTCAATTGTTTCAATGTTCAGGAAACCGATAGGAACATAAAACCATAACCAATGTAAGCAACGGAATACACCCTAAATTAATTTCTGTTTCTTTTCATTTTCAGACCGACTGGGCTACCGCTCCAGTAACCCAAAAAGTCGACATCCTCACCCCCAAAGTAGACATCCTCAAAATAGCAACAAACACGGCGAAAATCAACGAAGAAACCACCAGCGAGGACACCAACACCACAAGCCTCACCGAAGACGTCGAACTAAGTGAAGAAGTCGAAGAAGACCTAGCCCTGCTCGACCATGAAGAAGCCCTCAATAATTTCTCACTATCGTCCAGCCCAGTGGACACCAGCTATCCATCTCTAATCATGAACAGCGTCTACCACAATGCCAGCACTACAACCACGAGTAATAACAGCTCTCCAGAGTCTCCGGAAGCGTCAGGGGTGCCAGTGGCATCGGCAGTGGTGCAGATAGCCAGCGGCGCGGCGCTGGGCAGGCAGAAGGGCACGGCGAGGCCGAAGAAACAGTTTATTTGTAAGTTCTGCAACAGGCAGTTTACGAAGAGCTATAATTTGTTGATTCACGAGAGAACGCATACTGATGAGAGGCCGTACAGTTGTGATATTTGTGGGAAGGCTTTTAGGAGGCAGGATCATCTGAGAGACCACAGGTAAGGATCAGTTAAAATTAAATGATTTTTCCGAGGAAATTTCACACTAGTACTAATATATTTTAGGCAATTAAATGGTTTATTTCGATAGGTTTCCATGACAACTTATTTTTTATAGTAATTTTTTCTCTCCGAGGTGCATCGTCGAGCGGGACATAGGAAATCCCATGTAAATTTTAATGGGGTCAATTATTGGCTTCCCTAATTATTTTAGAGAATAATTCTATTTAGGTTTATTAAAAAGCACTAAAACCCACATTCAAAAGAATAACTTTAGATATATTTGATTAGGCCGTTTACGAGTTATCGCCCGATTTCTTTTTAAATATTTCTCCTTTCTTATGGCCCTGTATTTACTTATGAGCACCAGTCAAGGTAACTGTCAAATGAAGTTGTCATTTCAGAAATTTATCTATTTAGTGCTTTATTTTACTTTAATTCATATTAATTTGTATTTATAAATACATCTTTAAGATTTCCGATGTAGGAATGAGTTTTCAATAATAATAAAGCACTAAATAGGTAAATTTCTGAAATGACAACTTCATTTGACAATTATCTTTTACCTTGACTGGTGCTCATAAGTAAATACAGGGCCATAAGAAAGGAGAAATATTTAAAAAGAAATCGGCGATAACTCGTAAACGAGCTAATCAAAAATATCTAAAGTTATTCTTTTGAATGTGGGTTTTAGTGCTCTTCAATAAACCTAAATAGAATTATTCTCTAAAATAATTAGGGAAGCCAATAATTGACCCCATTAAAATTTACATGGGATTTCCTATGTCCCGTCCAACGATGCAACACCCAGTATAGCTGAAATGATTTTTACATACAGGGCTGTTCACCACATACGAATATTGTAGCTAAACGATTAGATTTTTGCAAATTGTTAAGTTTTGGGTTCGTTGAAGGACTATTAGAGCTACAATTTAAAAATATTTTCACCAGATAAAGTCCCTAATAAATAAAAAATATCAAAGTTATTTTTTTTTTAATGGAACACCCTGTATATTATTACATTTTTAGTTTCTACGATTAAAATAAAGGTAAATTTGATTAAGTTTACCGCATTTTAATCTTACAGTTTTTGAAATATTTAGGTTTTTGTCAAAATACAGCAATAATTTTAATGCTTAGGTAAAAATGGTACCACCAACTGTGATACTCGCCTGTCATACTCCAATATAACTGTGATACTGTTTGTTAATATACTTTTTTTGTATTTTTTTTTATCTTTTGTCACTCAACTTGAAATGTTTATGTCAATGTAGATTTTTTAAATTTTGAATTGTCCTTGTAAGAGTGATCCCTCGAGGGTATTGAGATAGATCCCTGTAATTTCATTGTTGTAACATGGCTAATGATCCTGGCGATCGATTCCTAGGAAAAAATACAATAGTAACCTGGCAACAAACAAAGTTCCTACAAGCGGAGTTAATACAAATATACCGGAAGATTAATAAATGCCACATTTGTGTCGTTTTAAAATGGGACAAAATACACACACCGGAAAAGTCTAGGGATATTACAATTTTATCCAGCCATCGTCAGTAATTTTATTATTTGCATTTCTGATATAATAAAATTAAAATAAACAAATAGTTTACAGGACGTATTGGAAATAAAAATGCGAAATTTACCGAATTTTTCAAATTTACCTTGATTTTTATTGAACTCAAAAAAATACACACATTTTTTTTAATTCTAAACTGTGAATTAAAAAAAAAGATAAAACCATTTTTACTTAATAAAGGGTATGGCCTCTTCTACTGTTCATTACAGCCCTACATCGTCTCTCCATGCTCCTGATCAAGTTGTCGATCTCTTCTTGAGGTACAACCTGCCACGCTGCATTCACGGCCCGAAGCAGATCCCTAAGAGTTTCACGAGGCATACCCATTCTCAAAATTCTTCTTTGGACCGCGTCCCATACGTGATAAACTCACTTACCACTCTGGCTGTATGAGGCCGTGCATTGTCATGCATGAGAATGAAGTTTCTCCCAAAATCATTGGCATATGGTAACACGACAGGCTCAAGAATTAAATCACGATATGTGATTCCTGTTAGAAACCTTTCAAGAAAAACAAGATCGGTTTTTCGGCCTAACTGGACTCTTCTCCAGACCATAACTGTTCCACCTTGATAAGGGTGCACTTCCTGAACATGATCCAACCGAATAAGATTTCCCGGTTCTCTCCATACCCTAAGCCTTCTCGAATCCGGATGAATTCCAAAGCGTGACTCATCCGTGAAGAGAACATTGGCCCATTGTTCATTCGACCACTGAACATGATCTTGAGCCCACAAATATCGTACCTCCCGATTTCCTCTCGTTAATGGTTGAGCTCTCCAGGGGCGTCTGCTTCTTAAGTTGACCTCTCTTAATCTATTGCGAACAGTGTCAGGACTAACGGTTACATTATGTGTTTCCTGGAGAATTAAACTAAGCTCTGGTGCCTGTACTGGCTGTAAGAGTCGGTCGGCGTCGAGTATTTAATTGTAAAAAATGATCTTGCTGAGGGGTAGTAATGCGATGTCGCCCTGTGTGCCTTTCAGCAACATCACCACTTTCCCGGTAGCGTGCGATATTACACTTTGCGTTGTATTTAATGCTCTAGCTACGTCGATTTGGCGCATTCCAGCTTCGAGCATACTCATGGCCCTTAGCATTTCGTCTCTGTTAAGACGTCTACGTTCCATAATGTCGTTTAATACTAAACAGAGTTATTTGAATGAATTCTGGCCAGTTATCATAAAAACATAGCCAGTACAGGTTAAATTCGAACAATTGATGCTAAGTGCTTTTTATACATTTGACAAAAAATGTACAAACACTTCTGCAAATATCCTAAATTTAGAAATAACTAGTGTGACTACGTCGTTTCAATCGAAGTAGAAAGAATCGGCCTACAAATATGTGGTTGTTTATTCAAAACATTTATTTTTAACTTTAATAAAATGATATCCCTAGATTTTTCCGGTGCGTGTATACTAAATTCAGTACCAACGGGAATTATAAAGTTTTTAACACCCTTATGTTCTTTGATACATAAGTAACTATTTTTTCAAGATGTAATAGATAGGTTTAAGCCTAAACGCCAGATAAGAAATTCGTCGTTTCCTTATTATTTCTTATTTTATTGTTGTTTATTCATATTGGACCTGTCATCACACGGGTCTCCACGTATCTTTTTCCTCATTTATTATGAAATTATCGAGGATACACACAGGTATCAGAATACGCCAACGTTTCGAATACCATTATCTTCAACCTGGAAACAAGACCCCAACCGTTTTTTTTTTAATTTCGCTGCTTCATTTGTTGTTTTTTTGCACCTGACCGTTGGCCACACCTGCAAACATAAATTTTCGGTTTTAGGGAGATGGGCCGGAATAAAATAAACATCCTGTGTTGATAAAGAGAAAATGGACGATTTTTGTTTAGTGTTGTTTCGAAATTTTTTAATTTAAAGTTTTAAATTAGCAGTTAACTTTAGAATTTATTTTTAGGATTATTTACAGATGTCAGTCACATCCTAATATTATGTTCCGTCAAAAAGTGTCAGAAGCTTGATTTTCATGCATCCGTTGTCCTACGATATGATATTAATTTTATTGGTTGGAATTTGGATTGGAAAGAAAATTATTGAATTAAAAATTATTGACTCCTTTCATCGGATATGCGATTTGCTTCTGATTGGTGTCATTTTATATTTTCATTTCCATAACGATTTCGCTGTTTTACTTATAGCTTAAGAACAAGCAACGTTTTCGAGAGAGAATGTTATGAAAGCTGGTTCTTTAATATATCTTTTGCAATATTCTCCTGAACAGAGTGCGGACCGTCTGGCTGCCGATAGACGTCGCGTTTACTACTGCGCATCCATATCTGTATTCAACATCTGTCCACTACTGCGCATCACAAATTCGCCCTGTGTTTCAGGAACTAAAGAGGCTAGGAAAAACCTTAGTGTAGCATATTTAGTTTCATAAAAAAGTAACAAAGTGATATAAAAATCGTATCATTGTATCTCAACTCATAAACGAGAAATCGCATAAAACACACAAAAACGGGATACGCTGCACATATGTGATGCGCAGTAGTGAACCGCAGTAGTCTACCGGCAGCCAGCACTTTGGCTAGCAGAGCACAGGAAAAGAAAAGAACTAGCTTTCTTAAAATTCTGTAGTTACTCAAAATCTCTATTACCCAAGTGGTATTTTCACGACTTGCGACCACATGTTTACTAAACACAACGTTGGATTAGTTACAAAAAATAGTTAGCTCCCTACCTTGGGTATTAAAATAAATTTAAACGTTTTTATAACGTTGTGCCGACGTTGGACTAGTACTACAGCAAAGTAGAAGCTTCTGCGACGTCGAATAAACGTTGTCTTGTAACCTTTTTTTGCTTAAGTGATCTTTAGGTGATTCGGACAACGTAGTTACAACGTTGGACAATATAGAGTTTTCCGACGTCAGTTTCAGGACCTATTCCAACGTTATGCAAACGTCGTCTGTTTTACTAATTCCAACGTTGTTTAGATTTCCTTATTCTTACGTTGGTAGGACGTCGAGTCAGTACCTTCTTGCAACTGTATTGAACCATAACCTAAAATCTTAAATTTTCACTACATTGATCTGTTCAGTCAGACAGTTCAGTGCTGTTTTTGTTTTTATAAAAATTAAAATGGGAGATAAGAAAGGTACATATAAAACTAAATTTAAATATACATCGACATATATTACCGATAGTTTATCCACTCCCTCGTTTATTTAGATTATAGAGGGCGGCACCAGTTAAACTCTAGGATGACTAAATTAGGCAATCTTGCGACTAGTATACTACCTGTTAAGGCCGAACTGCGACTTTATTAGTCCAGTATGCGACTACTCGAACTACTCCATCTTAATCCCCAAAACAACAAAGTGAAAACCGCCATGTTGTTAAATAAGAAAATGTTTCGTTCCTAAAATAGCAATTCCTGCTTTT